CTACAGGAGAGCTGGAGAAGGACTTTGGACAAGGGCCTGGAGGGACAGGACAGAGGGAATGGCTTCCCACTGCCAGAGGGCAGGGTTAGGTGGGATATTGGGAAGGAATTCTTCCCTGTGTGTGGGGGGAGGCCCTGGCACTGGTTGCCCAGAGAAGCTGGAAGGTGTCCAAGGCCAGGTTGGACAGGGCTTGGAGCAGCCTGGTCTGGGGGAAGGTGTCCCTGGCAGGGGTGCTGGGACTGGGTGGGCTTTAAGGTCCCTTCCTACTCAAACCATTCCATGTTTCTGTGACTTCTCTCCCGTTAATTTGTCCCATCATTTTTGAGCCTGTGTAAGTCTCCAGGCTCCACAGCAGGTTAAAGTCAGGAGTCCCACAGCTCCTCTACACTTATTCCCAGGTATTGGCTGCACAAGCTGGGCCAAAACTCCATTTTCCAGGACGTTACCGGGTTAATTAAGGCAAACAGCCCCAGGCAGCATTTAAGGAGGTCAAGTTTCCCTCTATTAAACAGCAGTAGAACTATTCATCCCTGAACTCTGCAGCAGAGTGGCTCCAGGGCTGCTCCTCTCCTGGAGGGTGGCACGTGGGCTGAGCCACTCAGGACACAGAAGGGCAGTGGGAAGGAGGGGGATGGAGGCCGTGCTGGGGGTGGACAGACTAAAACCATGGTAGGACCTTCCAGGTACCTTCCAGGCTCTCAGCTCCTGTGTGGATCCCTCCCCCTGGAGGGAAGGAGAGCAAAGCAAGGGACCAAAGCCCTCTGAGCTGAGGGTGTTTGTACTCCAGACACCCCCTAGAAAAGCTGGAGAGGCTGAGGGAGGGAGACCCACGCAGGTGACACCCAAAGCCAGCCGGAAATCCTGCCCACACGGAAATCTGCCCTCCATGCAACACTCAGGCTTGAAAACCTGCAACTCGAATATCGCCCTGAAAAGCTGCTGGGAAAAATATCCACCACGTGCAGGAAAACAGAGGAGAAGGTGGATAAAAATACCCGTCACAGCAACACCCACGTGGAACAGGGACCTGCACTTAAACCTGGGTGAGGAAAAGGAGGGCGACACATTTCACCACAGTGACCTGAGGTAACCCGGGCTGGTTCCTCTGTTCCTGAAAGACGACCCAAGACAAAGCTCAAAGCACAGCCCCAACACTGCTCAGGGGAGGCACTTCAAAGCTGCACCTGAGGTGGGAGGGGGCAGGAAAGCAGAGAGATCAGAGAAGGAAATTCCCTCAGTGGGATCAGAAACGTTAAAAAAAAAACATTTGAAAAAAAGAAAGACAAACACAGGCAGCAAAAGAATTATTCACAACAGCAACGTTCTTCCCCCAGGCAGTAACAAACAAAAATATCAAAAGGTTTTGCAAGTATTATCTAAGAATTTTAAGGAAATAAAGCCCCGTGTCGGGGTCGGGGACGCAGCGGCGCAGCAGCTGCACGTAGGTCAGGTTCTCGTGGGTGTTGGGGTCGAAGAAGCCCTTGGTGTCATCGCTGGGGTC